TGTGGATGTGTCACTGGTAGAGGTGGATCTCCTGAGCACTGATGAAGACTGGCTTTCAGATGGGTGTTCGTCTGCTGTGGCTCTTCTTTTCTTTGGTATCGCTGATGTGTCTTCATCGGAGTCAGCAATGTTGATTACATCATTGAAGTTGAACGATCCTGTGCTGACTCCTAGTCTGAATCCATCACCTGGAAAGGCTGAGAAGAACTTCCTTTTCTTATGCCATTTCTTTGAGTGTTGCTTATAGAGCTTCTTTCCGAGTGGCCAATCTAGATGACAACACAATATTGTGTTAGGGTATATTAAGGTGAAAGACAAAGTTTTGTTCAACAAAGCAAAGAACATTTTTTTACTGAATTTTCTATTATATTTTTCTTCTGTCTTACTTCTTTTAGTTTGGCTGAAAAAATAAATAAAATAAAAATAATAGATAGATAAATAAAAATAATAAATAAATAAATAAATACATTAATAAATAAATAAATATAAAAATACATAAAATTGCTAAGGACAATATTCTTAGAGCCATAAATAAGCTTTTTTCTGTTGTACATGACTCTCCTAATTAACCTACCTTTGCCTAGTTAACCTAATTAACCCAGTTAAGCCTTTAAATTACACATTGAACTAAATACTAATAGCCTGGGAAATATTAATTCATTCATGCATGCATTTTCTTGTTGGCTTAGTACCTTTATTAATCCGGGGTTGCCACAGAGGAATGAACCGCCAACTTATCCAGCAAGTTTTTACGCAGCGGATGTCCTTCCAGCCGCAACCCATTTCTGGGAAACATCCACACACACATTCACACACACACACACACTCATACACTACGGACAATTTAGCCTACCCAATTCACCTGTACCGCATGTCTTTGGACTGTGGGGGAAACCGGAGCACCCGGAGGAAACCCATGCGAAGGCAGGGAGAACATGCAAACTCCACACAGAAACGGGAAATATTAATATTAATAATAATTCATATTATTAACGTTTTAAAACATGTTTAAACATATATTCTCTTCATTAAACAGCATTTGGGAAATACTTGAAAAAGAGTTCTGCTAAATTTAATAATTTAGCAATTATTCTATATTCTATCAAATTTGAATGATTAAAATCTTTTTTCAATCTAATTCTAATTTAAAGTATCCTTAAATAGAGTTACAAACTATTTGGTAGAGCATATAATATCTTTGCACTGATTTACAAATAATGTGTGTCTTCTATAAGTCATAGTAAAAAATGTATGATATACAATGTACCAAAAAGTCTTAATTATTATAAGTAAATTATATTTCTATTTTATTTTTAAATATTAAAAGCCAGCCTAAAAAAGTCTAATTCTCAAAAACTGTTGTTGTTATTACTCCTAATGTAAAGACTACCTCTCAGATGTGGTAGAATTTCTTTGCCCAATGTTTGCATTATTATTATTATCACTTTATTCATATTCATCCAGGAGGCAATAATACTTCTGTTTTTAATGATTCAATGCATGCTTCTGATAATTAATAGCAACCTATACATATATTCATCTATTGTAAATCTCTGATCATAGCTGATATTTAATGAACCTGTATTTAATGTTCATAGTACATCTATTTGTAAACATCACCCATAGTTTTACTATAATTGCACTTTATAACTTTTATACCTTATATTCTGCACTTGCTACTATTGCACTCCTAGTTAGAACTAAACTGCATTTTGTTACCTTGTACTTGTGTTGTACATGTGTAATGACAATTAAATCTAATCTAATAGCAATATGGGTCAGTATAGAACTTAACATGAATTGACATGTAAATGGTAAATATAACTAACTATTTACTAATACAGTAGTATTTACTAACTAATATACATTTATAGTTATTATTTTTACTTTGCACAATTTCAGATAAATTGGTTATGTTAAAGGTATGCACAACGTGTGAAATGTATTCAGTAATGCAATATTATTATTAAGTGTTTCAGAAGTTTAAATTAGAAAGCTGAAGTTACATCATAAAAATAAATATAAAAAACTTTAGAGACAACATATATGTTTTCAGTGTTTTGAGGGAAATTTTCACTACATTCCACTAACTATGCCACTGGCTTGAATAGTTCGGGACTTGTAGAGCTGCGCATCGATGGATTGCTCTTCAGTGTTTGGACTCAGCAGTGAACATTACACCACACTGAACTAAACTAAACTTAAACTATGAAAACTGAACTGACACTGTTTCAATTCACTATAGTCTTATATGTGAAGCTGCTTTGACACAATCTACATTGTAAAAAGGGCTATAGACATAAAGATGAATTGATTTGAATATTTAGTGACTATTTTAGAGATTACTGTACAGTGGGTTTTAGACTACAAATTGTCTAATTTTTCCTTTTTTCTGCTACATGGAGATATAAACACCTATTTTACAAGAAATACGTATCGTAAATACATAAGATGTCTATCAGTGCTCTAGAACTGCCAGTTTCAGACTGTTAAATGATATTTTTATTGTGGATTCACAGAGAAAGTTATTTACGATTAAAGGGCTGACCCCATACATCTTTTTGATGTCCTTCAGAGGGGATCCAGTATTAGTTTAACTTACGTTAGGGGGTGCAAAACCCCTCTGTAACTCTGCAGTATGTTTACACTACAAAACAGTAGATAAACTATTGAATGTTTGATTTTCTGTTAATGTTATCCCGTTAACTATTACGCTACAACAGATCGATGTGTGGGTATCAATACAGAAGTTCAGATTGTGGCCTAGCGTTACAGCGCAATCAATAAATTAGGCATATGAACAACAATAATAACAACAACTAGGCCTACGTCTTTAGGGTCAAACAAGTCGATATTTGTTCTGTTCGTGCTTCTAAACCTACGTGTTATCGGTGTGGCTGTGGATGTGGACGCTCTGTCCGTGTAGTCCGGAAGCTGCTGGTACTCGTATCGACACTCAGGACAATAATAAGGTCCAGTGCGGGAGCCGCTCCACAACTCTTTGATACACGACTGACAGAAGCTATGTCCGCAGCCCAGCGTCACCTGATCCCGACAATCCTCATGACATAGAGGGCATTTCAGAGCTTTCTCATTAGCTGCTCCCATCTTCGTTAAAAGCTTTATTTACAGCCGAATAACACGCGATCGAAGAAACGAAACTGACCGTGCGCAGAGTAGGCGGAGCTTCATCTTTTGAATCCTGCAGGAACAATATTTACCCTGCTCTTAAAGAGACAGCGCACATTGTATTTTCTGCATTTCACAGCCTGTCCTTAAAGCGACAGCGCGCAATACTTTCTGTACATAAAACCATTGTCTATATCTATGTTTCTTCAATTAAAGGGACATTAAGTAATATTTTACATTATTTTTTATCTATCTATCTATCTATCTATCTATCTATCTATCTATCTATCTATCTATCTATCTATCTATCTATCTATCTATCTATCTGTCTGTCTGTCTGTCTGTCTGTCTGTCTGTCTGTCTGTCTGTCTATCTATCTATGTATCTATCTGTCTATCTATCGTCTGTCTGTCTGTCATGGATCTATCTATCTATCTATCTATCTATCTATCTATCTATCTATCTATCTATCTATCTATCTATCTATCTATCTATCTATCTATCTATCTATCTATCTATCTATCTATCTATCTATCTAACTGTCTGTCTGTCTGTCTGTCTATCTATCCATCGTCTGTCTGTCTGTCTGTCTGTGATGGATCTATCTATCTATCTGTCTATCTATCTATCTATCTATCTATATATCTATCTATCTATCTATCTATCTATCTATCTATCTATCTATCTATCTATCTATCTATCTATCTATCTATCTATCGTCTGTCTGTCTGTCTGTCTGTCTGTCTGTCTGTCTGTCTGTCTGTCTGTCTGTCTGTCATGGATCTATCTATCTATCTATCTATCTATCTATCTATCTATCTATCTATCTATCTATCTATCTATCTATCTATCTATCTATCTATCTATCTATCTATCTATCTATCTATCTATCGTCTGTCTGTCTGTCTGTCTGTCATGGATCTATCTATCTATCTATCTATCTATCTATCTATCTATCTATCTATCTATCTATCTATCTATCTATCTATCTATCTATCTATCTATCTATCTATCTATCTATCTATCTATCTGTCTGTCTGTCTGTCTGTCTGTCTGTCTGTCTGTCTGTCTGTCTGTCTGTCTGTCAGTCTGTCTGTCTATCTATCTATGTATCTATCTGTCTATCTATCGTCTGTCTGTCTGTCATGGATCTATCTATCTATCTATCTATCTATCTATCTATCTATCTATCTATCTATCTATCTATCTATCTATCTATCTATCTATCTATCTGTCTGTCTGTCTGTCTGTCTGTCTGTCTGTCTGTCTGTCTGTCTGTCTGTCTGTCTGTCTGTCTGTCTGTCTGTCTGTCTGTCTATCTATCTATGTATCTATCTGTCTATCTATCGTCTGTCTGTCTGTCATGGATCTATCTATCTATCTATCTATCTATCTATCTATCTATCTATCTATCTATCTATCTATCTATCTATCTATCTATCTATCTATCTATCTATCTATCTATCTATCTATCTATCTATCTATCTATCTATCTACCTACCTACCTACCTACCTACCTACCTACCTACCTACCTACCTACCTACCTACCTACCTACCTACCTACCTACCTACCTACCTACCTATCTATCTATCTATCTATCTATCTATCTATCTATCTATCTATCTATCTATCTATCTATCTATCTATCTATCTATCTATCTATCTATCTATCTATCTATCTATCTATCTATCTATCTATCCATTCACAGTGATGTCACTAGCTTCATTAAGTGCATTGTTTCTGACATCTCTGATACAATCTCAGCTTGCATCATAAAGGCTGCATCCAGATACTATTGGTCTATCTTGCTATAGCTAAGGAGATCTGATCTTTGTTTCTACCAAATAAAAGTAAATCACACACTTCTCTTTATTAAACCTTTATTTATTAATTAAAATTTATTAAAAGGTTTATTAGAAATCAAGTCAATGTTCTACAAAATAAAAAATACAGCAGGGACTCAACAGGTTATGTATTACTTCATTTGCTTCATATGGGTTTAGATTCTTATGACACCATCATTAGGGGCTGCTGAAATCCATCTCTATTAACATTACATTGATTTACTTTACAAATAAACAAACACACAAAAATTATTACTAAAAGTTGAAGAACAGATAATTAAAGTAAACCAGTAAAGATTTAATAAAATGATTAAATAAACATAAAACAATACAACACAAACGCAATGCTATTCATCAATCACATTATCCCTCCTCTCTGATGTTGGCTATTGGTTAATTTTTAAAAGCCCTTGGTGTGTATTCTGGCACATTCACAATGACAGTCCACTCTACAAACACAGGGATCAATGTTCAGCGTTTGGACACCTGAACTTAAAACGAGAGAGGCAATGCAGAAGTGAAATGGCCTTTTGACCACCACTAGAAAAAAATACATCAAACATCATTTATTAGCCTGGTCATCATTCACCAACTCAATACGCAGGAGCATTGCGGATCGCACAGCACAGGACCATGGTGAAGATCATCTCAAAAACCTGCACAGTAGAGAGAAATTAAGCGCATAATCATTTGAAAGGATATGAGTATATATTCTTAGTACAGGTCTGTATGTGTGTGTATTATTCTTACCATAATGACAGCAATAACTAGAGCAGCCAGTCCAATCACATGAAGCTTCTCAGAGAACAGGTTTCTTAGCTTCACGTGGCAGCTCTGAAGTGCACAACATCAAAAAATATAATCAAATTATTTTGCATTCTAAATCAAATCCACGGTTGTGTGTGTTTATGTGCGTACCATGTATTTCTGTGGGGACCAACTGTCCCCATAAGTATAGCAAAACCAGTAAAACTTAACATTATGAGAAAAACGGCTAATAAATCACACAGGATGAAGTATTATGAAAAAGTAAAAATGCAGATTGTTTCATGTGAAGGTTGGATTGAGGGGTAGAGGGGTATAGAATATAGACTGTACAGTAGAAACATTGCATCTATTATTAGACACAGCCATATCATTCTGCAGCCCAATACTGGTTACTCACTGGAGCTAAACAAGGCTGAGTCCGGTCAGTACCTAGATGGGAGACCACATGGGAAAACTATGTTGCTGTCGGAAGTGGTGTTAGTAAGGCCAGCAGGGGGGGCTTAACCTGTGGTCTGTGTGAGTCCTAATGCCCCAGCATAGTTAAGGGGACACCATACTGTTAGTGAGTACCGTCTTTCCGATGAAACGGTAAACCAAGGTCCTGACCTTCTGTGGTAATTTAAAATCCCATGGCACTTCTCGTAAAAGATTAGGGGTGTAACCCCGGCGTCCTCGCCAAATTCCCTACATCGGCCCATATAGATCATGGCCTCCCAATCATCCCCATTTACTGAATTGCCTTTATCACTGCCTTTCAACTCCCCTTATAGCTGGTGTGTGGTGAGCGCACTAGCGCCTTTGTCCTGTGGTTGCCGTCGCATCATCCAAGTGGATGCTGCATACTGGTGGTGGTGTGGAAAGACACCCCTGATTGTGAAGCGCTTTGTGTGTATGGTCATAAAAGATAAATGCATTATGTAAATACACAGTACACACACACAACTGAACTGAACTTAAACACCAAAACCCTAACCACACTGTTCCAGTTACTGAACCACACTGTTCCAGTTACTATGACCATTTATGTGAAGCTGCTTTGACACAATCTACATTGTAAAAGCGCTATACAAATAAAGCTGAATTGAATTGAATTGAATTGAATTACATTACATCACAACTGTGTGTGTGTGTGTGTGTGTGTGTGTGTGTGTGTGTGTGTGTGTGTGTGTGTGTGTGTGTGTGTGTGTGTGTGTGTGTGTGTGTGTGTGTGTGTGTGTGTGTGTGTGTGTGTGTTTATGTCTGTGTCTCTGTCTGTTTGTTTGCTTATTTCTTTTGGACAAATGTGTCCTTGTCATCTTCACAGTCAAATGCTCTTGCCTTTTTTGATCATTGCAAAAAAGTTTTTATTACTTCAGAGGGGGGGAAATCATTGCCAGCTACCTTAACTGGATCCAGGACCTGACAAAAAAATTAAAAAGTGCTAAACGGAATACAAAAAAAATCATAATGTTTGGCAACACTTCCTATTACAATTTAAAATTGTCATACAGTAATTCTCCAGGTAAAATCATCTACATTTGGCCTTTCCTCTTCTTCTCCATAACTCATGATTTTCAGCTTGAAAATATATATATATATAGTGTGTGTGTGTGTGTGTGTGTGTGTGTGTGTGTGTGTGTGTGTGTGTGTGTGTGTGTGTGTGTGTGTGTGCGCACTTCTGGTGGCTGTTGTGGGGGTAGTGAAAAGTATGACAAACGTACGAACAAACAAGTGAATAATACATTTGTTGAACTAAAAATAAAATGTATGTATGTATATATATATATATATATATATATATATATATATATATATATATATATATATATATATATATATATATATATTTATTTATTTATTTATTTATTTATTTTATTTTTAATATATTGATAATGTTTAAATATACGAATGTTCAGGCTGAACTGAAATGAAATTCGCAATTTTATTTTTCTATATATTATTAGTATCACAAAAGTTAAACCTATGCACATGATAATTTGTCAACAACTCTTCACATTTAAGAAGATTTTCTCTCAGATGTGCCTCAAAACAGGGAAGAAAAAACTATTATGACTTCAGTTTCATGCCATCTTTCAAGCTACAGCAGATACCTGAGAGATGAGTGGATCAAGTGGAAAAGTCTTCTTGGGACACAGAGAGGTCTGGACAACTTTGAAAAGGTCATTATCATCCCCTTTACCACAGCAATCAAGCTAGATATGAAGAGAGAATGCGAATAAGAGGATCAACCATCCAAAACACAGATTTAAAGAGAGAAATAATTAATTCCAGCAACTCACATTGTCATGGAAGACCTCCAGAACTTTAGATGCTGTCTGTCTGGATGTCGTATCCACTGGATCTACAGCTTTAATGTATGCAGCGTCATAGAAATTAATAAGCTCAGTGGAGATCTGGATGGATGAAATGAGAAGTGACAGGTTTAAAATGAAATCTTGAAAGTGTATATACTGTACAGCTACTGTATATAGGAGGAAATAACATTTTCGGTTTCTCTGGATTTAAGATTTGTTGTCATGTTTTTGAGTTTTATTCTACTAAGGATATTTATTGCTCATTTAAAATTAAAATGTATTCATTTTGAGCATTTTTGCTCAAGTTTGTATTAATTTTTAACTGAATATGCATGTTTATTTATGTTTAGACAACACAATACCAATTGTTTCAACTTTTGGAAAGTTAAGAAAGCAATATTTCATCCAGTAACAAGTAAAAAAAAAAATATATATATATATATATATATATATATATATATATATATATATATATATATATATATATATATATTCTGACCAAAGTCATTCTCTGAGAGAATAAAAATGTGAATGACCCCCTTTTTATTTCAAATTTGGAAAAAAATATTTTTAGACCTGTTATATATGAAACAAATAATGTATTAATTTAAATTAAACAATTTAATTTACTGCAACACATACTTTATAAATCCAGAGAAACAGAATTTTCAAGAGCTCTCCTAGTCTTTTTTATATATAGCTGATTGTATCTGGACTCTTACTGTGTCTCTGTTTATAAAGCCCCATATTCCTGCAGCCACCTCACAGGCGAAGAGGATCACTAAACATGTGAAAAACTGAGGGAGAAATAAAGATAAAACTGTGATGAAAGAAGAAATACTGAACTGTGAAGATGTTAAGTACTGTAACTGTGTAGTTTTTCATTATGCTAAACATCCAAACAACAAGATTTCAGCAAGAAATAACATTAAGCGAATTAGCTTTCTAGCTTATTTGGTTACAAATAAAATTCTGCCTCCATGTGCTATGTTTTCCAGACAAAAACTTGACATGAATAGCATCTAAATTTCCTATATATAATATAATTTTGAAACCTGATATTCAGAGTAGTGTCTAGCATTTTATTTGTTTTAACTACTTTGCCTTGTCATGTTACATGTTCATTCATTCATTCATTTTCTTGTCTGCTTAGTACCTTTATTTATCTGCCACAGCAGAATGAACCACCAACTTATCCAGCAAGTTTTTACGCAGCTGATGCCCTTCTAGCCGCAACACATCTCTGGGAAACTTGTTGCATGTTGTATATTGATTCATATATTCATTTTCTTGTCGGCTGTTGTATATTCATATTTATATAACATTATTTTAATCCTTTAACATGCATAACAACTAACTGGTTGACCTTTTATCCATAGGTTTTCATTATTTTTTTATTTCTTATTACTTTTTATTAGAGTTGTGTCAGTATATTATTCAATACAAAATGTGGGCCAAAAGATATTTTCAAGAAGTGCACCTTAAGGGTTTAATACTATATATACACATACAGTTGAAGTCAGAATTATTAGCCCCCCTTTGAATCTTTTTTTTTTTCTTTTTTAAATATTTCCCAAATTATGTTTAACAGAGCAAGGACATTTTCACAGTAAGTCTGATAATATTTTTTCTTCTAGAGAAAGTCTTATTTGTTTTATTTCAGCTAGAATAAAAGCAGTTATTAATTAAAAAAAAAAACATTTTAGGGACAAAATTATTAGCCCCTTTAAGCAAATTTTTTCAATAGTCTACAAAATAAACCACTGTTATACAATAACTTGCCTAATTATCCTAACCAGCCTAGTTAACCTAATTAACTTAGTTAAGTCTTTAAATGTCTCTTTAAGCTGTATAGAAGTGTCTTGAAAAATATCTAGTAAAATATTATTTACTATCATCATGGCAAAGGTAAAATAAATTAGTTATTAGAAATGAATTATTAAAACTATTATGTTTAGAAATGTGTTGAAGAAATCTTCTCAACGTTAAACAGAAATTGGGGAACAAAATAAACTAATAATTCAGAGAGGCTGTTAATTCTGACTTCAACTGTATATTAATTGAATTAATCAAATTTATTTAATTCATAAAATTATTTTATTTATTTAATTAACAAAACACCTCTTAAATGTTTGGGCGATCTGTACGGGGGAACAGGAGTGCCAGTTAGAAATAAAATGAACAAATATTAGACAAATAAATAGATATATTTAATTGTGTTTATTTAAATAAAATTGATGGTTTGTATATGTCATTTAACAAAGCAATTAATTAAAAATTATAAATAATTGTTAAATGTATAAATAAATAGACGATTTTTATAGTTTATTTAAGTCATGTGTTAAAATGTAAATTAATATTATTCCTGTTATACAGGATGGGATTTAGTAACAACAGGGTCTCCTAAAAAAGTTGTGAATCATGAAGGAAACATGAAAAAAAAAAATAGCATGAACCCACCGTTCCTAAAAGACACTGAGATTCCTGAATAGCTCCATAACAGCCGAGGAAACCCACAAACATCATGATGGCACCGATCGCTATGAGGACATACACACCTGAAAGAGCAACACAAATTGTACATGAGCAAGACATTCCCATTTATTGCACAAAAACACTTTCTAAAGGACTCCAGTGATCCTTTTCATTTTTTTATAAACAGCTGCTGTGAGCTGTAGATATAACATATTAATGGATATCCACTAGAGGGCATATGTGCAGCATGTAGAAGCCTCAAAACTCTGTTGAACAACTACAATACGTGGACAAATTAGTCATAAATCTACAGCTCTGAAAGATAAATAAAAAAAACTTCAGAGTTAGTATATATATATTCTCTTTATCAATAGGTCAGCTTCAAATAAGAATAATATTATTTAGGGCATTTTTCCAGGAAACTGCTCAATATATAATATTCAATATTTTCGTACCCTAAATATTGAAAACAATTTAAGAAATTTTACACAAAGACACAAATATATATACATCTATGGAGGAAAAATAAGAGACCTTTTGAAAAATATAATTTTATTTGTTAAGATTAAAAATTAGGGTTACTGCACCAAATATTGCTTTCTTAAATCTTCTGATGTTAAATATTGATATTGTGTTGTCTAAACAAAAATATAACAAAATATATGAATGTTATAAATACAGTATGTCTGCTATGCATTATAGGCATAGTATAAAATGTGTTTTAAATATTTTAGACACATGGATTTACAATGTCAGGATTAGTTTGCAACATTTGTTTTCAGATGTCTTCCTAAAACACAAAATCTTAAATCATAAATCCAGAGAATTCAAGTATTTTTTTTATTATTATTTCAGAATATAGAATATTTTTACTGACCCCTTGTCATTTCCTTCAAATAAATGCTCTGAAGGATAAAATTCGCATTTGGAAATTTGAAGACAAATATCAACACTTTAAAAATAAAACATGTTACTCAAAACACATGTAAGATCCGGGAGTATTTGGGCTACGATATACACTGACGATAAAAAAAAAAAAGAATGATAGGTAAATGAATAGATTAAATACATTTAAAGTAAAAGATCTTTTACATCTGACTCATTTTCCTTTTTCTGTAACTCAAATATGATCAATTTCCTCTCTTTCATATCTTCATGTCATTATTATGAAATTCAGAACCAAAAGCTAAACAAAAAGCTAATGTGTATTTTCCTGTCTGACTTGCCATGGCAGAATAAACACAACAAAATAGCAGAGGGTGAGTGAAAGCGCAGGCTCAGTCTTATAGGTAAAAGAGCACTTGACTGTTCAAACTATTAACAGGCATGGGAAGATCTAGTCTAAACAGGAACCGTCCACATAGCAGAGCAAGAGCAAGACTCCCACAGCAGCCTCTGAAAACAAACCTGTCTATGAACAACATTTGTTTTTTGTCTTCCCAATAAATTCTGATTAAGACTTTCTAAGGAAACAATCAATACTACTACTAGCTTCTACAAGGTTTAGGGAGTTTGTTGTTTGTAAATCCATTTTCTGTAAGCATGAGTGTTTTGTATTAATGCAAATTAGTGTTTATCTGTCCAGCTGAAAACTCAGATACCCAAAAACAAATCTTGTAACCAATTGTTCAGTAATATAGTTTCTGAACCAAAAATATATCTGCAAAAAATTGTTTTGTTGGCGTCTAATAAGCGGTAATATTTTCCAAGATACAATTGCATTAATGTAGATTAAAGCAGACCTTTTAACACCAAGCTGGATTAGTTACCGAACAACTGAAATTAGTGTTCTGGACAGGAAACAATGGATTTTGAATTAACCTGCAGTAATATCATATCATGTCATATCGTATCATATTGTATCATATCATAAAATAATTAAATCATATTGTATCACAATATATCATATAGTATCATATATCATATCATATCAAATCAAATATTGTGTGCAGTATTTGTGCAATTTCAATATTGGCACTTATATAAAATATAAAACACAGTAACACTGTAGCTCCAACGCAGAAAACCAAGATGCACTGGCAACACAACAATAAAATGTATATTCTAGAATATGAGCTTTAGGGGGATGTAGTGGCGCACTAGGTAGTGCTGTCGCCTCACAGCAAGAAGGGCATCCGCTGCGTAAAAACATGCTGGACAAGTTGGCAGTTCATTCTGCTGTGGCAACCCCGAATTAATAAATAACTAAGCCGAAAAGAAAATGAATGAATGAATGAATGAATGAATATGAGTTTTAAAAATTATATCACCTAAATCGTCCTTTCATTTTCCTTCGGCTTAGTCTCTATTCAGAGGTTGCCACGGTGGACAATTGGAGCCACCAGCTATTCCGACATATGTTTTACACAGTGGACGCCTTCCAGCCGCAACCCAGTACTGGGAAGCACCCATAGACTCTCACATTTACACACACAGACTCATACACTAATGCCAATTTAGTTTATCCAATTTACCTATAGCACACGTCTTTGGACTGTGAGGAAAACAGGAGCACCCAGAGCAAACCCATGCATTTTAATTTTTGGGAGAACTGTTTTTAAGTGTTTTTTTTTATGAAAGAGACACTTATATATAATAAAAATTAAAACTGTAATAAATAAATATACTCTAAAAATGCTGGGTTATTGCAACCCATGCATTGCAGGATGTAATGGGGACTAACCCAACTGCTGGATTACTTTTTTAAATTCAAATAAAAACAACCAAATTCAACACAATGTTTGGGTTTGTCCAAATTTTACACAATAACCCAGTGAAAATAAATAAATTAATTAATACATTCATTCATTCTTTTTCTTTTTAACTTAGTCCCTTTATTAATCCAGTGTTGCCAAAGCGGAATAAACTGCCAACTTATCCAGCACATGTTTTACACAGTGGTCGCCCTTCCAGCAGCAACCAATCACTGGGAAACATCCACACACACTCATTCACACACGTTTACTAAGGACAATTTAGCGTACCCAATTCACCTGTACTGTATGTCTTTAGACTGTGGGGGAAACTGGAGCTCCTGGAGGAAACCCACACCAAACAGGGAGAACATGCAAACTCCACACAAAAACGCCAACTGATCCAGCCGAGGCTCGAACCAGCAACCGGCGAATGTACCACCCACTGCATTAACAAATTAATAAACAAATAAAGTTTGCTTCTCTAAGTAAAAAAATTAAATAAATAATAATAATAATTTATATATATATATATATATATATATATATATATATATATATATATATATATATATATATATATATATATATATCCCAGTTTTGTTTGGAAAGGAAAATAAAGTCAGACAGATGTTACATTTTGGTTAAATTCCAAAGCAACCTAAAAACAACAAAATATCAACTTCTAATTTGGTTACAGCTTGACGTTGTGTGGACGTTACAATATAATGTCTATCAGACATTGGATTTTAGTAGCCATACCTGACGAATAAATGTCAGTATTGACGTCAATATGATGTTGGTTTAAGATATTGGCTCAACGTTGAATTTTGGTCACTTTCCAACACAACCAAAAGTCAACCAAATATCAATGTCATTTCACGTTGTTGTTGGACATCGAATTAACATTGTCCTAAAATGCTGCAGACCTAAATCAAATCTAACATCTTATGATGTTGTCTGTCTGCTGGGATGGTAGATACAACGGTTATAGATTTCATGTCAATGGCTACTTCTCATTGTTCAAAATATCTTTTGTCTTAAACAGCAAAAAAGTTAATGATTGCCGTTTTTAAATGATTGCAAAATAGACCAATTGTAAAGCATGTAATCCCAAGGTCGTAGTTTTGATTCCTCCAAAAAAGCAAGAACTCATAATGTGTACCTTCATAGCAATGTAAGCTGCTCTGAATAGAAGCTTCTGCCAAATGTAGGAATGTAAATGTATTTCATCCCTGCAGTAGAAAATCCGCTCTCTGTTTAAAAAAAAACTATATTTAGGATTCAGAGAGTTTTCTCCAACCAGATTCCTCTCTAAGCTATAATGATTTGCTGGAGCGGCAGAGCTTGAACATATTTTTAGGGTTGTTTAACCAGTGCTTGAGCGAAACCCAAGCGCTGCTCGTTCTAATTAGTGGTGTAACGGGCACATGAACAGGGCTTTTTCAATTACACTGATGTCCAGGAGCTCTTCATCTCTCTCTTCTTTCTTTGGGTGGGCCAGACCAACAACCCCATCTTCTTTAATCAGAAAAGGTTGTTACTGCTATAAAAAGGAGCAGGCGGAGCTTCGGTTCTTCCATGTACTTATGTGAGTGAAGAGAGACAACCCAATGGTTTCCACAAAAATTAATGGGTGCAAACTCGACGCCAATGCCCACAACATGCTGACCTCGTGCCACTGAACTCTCTGTGTACATCTGCTGTGGTTCAGTGTGTAAATACCAGTGTGTGTGTGTGAACGCATGTATGTGCACATATGGGTGGAGTATATGAACACACCCTGTGGTAACTTTTTAGTCTTTCCTTGGTTCTTTTAAAAGCTACGGTGGGTGTGTCAGTAGATTCTACTTCATGTGAAAACTGCAGAATGGAGTGTTATTAAAGAAAACACAGGCACGGCGACATGACTACATCTACAAGACTACATCTGTGTGTTTTATGAGCAACTCCATAGGCAAGCTTTTACATCATGTCTCTCATGACTCTTTACTAGAGCCATATAAAACAATAGTACATGTTTATTTTGCTTATTATTACACAGCTCTCTGGAATACTTCATTCTGATTTGTCAGTCTCACCATATCAGGGTACTTTATTACTAGATAACATCCGATGCAACTAATAATACAGGATTATCCGCATACTTTAATCATCTTGAAATGAGGTGAATACACTCATATCTTTATCATATACTCCTCTGTTGTTGGGTGTACCTCACATAGGTGAGTGGGCCTGACAAACCCCCTGTACACACTCTTTTACTTATGTCACTTTCCCAAACATTTACCTCAGTTTGCACAATTGCACAAGACACTTCTTTACAATCACTCCATATCTCTAGAAAAAACTTTGTGAATTTAGGAGTTTGCTTCACACAGGTAAGTGGGTCTGACAAACCACCTGCAAAAACACTCTTCTTTTTATATGTACCATTGACAATAAAGATCAACTTCACATGATTTGACTGTTTGGGGCCATCTTAAATGTAAAATGTAAACGTAAAAAAAATCAGTTATTTTATGTTTTTTGGTGGCGTCTATTATTTTACAGCAAATTTCTGCAATTTAACGTCTGTTATTTTAAAGTAAATTTCTGTATTTTAACATCTGTTATTTTACAGTAAATTTCTGTATATTAGCGGTTGTTATTTTGCAGTAAATTTCTGTAATTTAATGGCCGTTATTTTATTTTTGTTTTTAAATAATGTTTTTACAGTGCAGCCAGATTATGTTTTAGTAAAAAAGATCCATAATTACAGCTAAGATCAATGTTTTGTCTCTGATTGCTTACATTTGCAAGTCTCTATAATAAGCATGATAATGAACATCTAACTGGTTGTTTTCGCAAAACTGTCTTTAACATAAAGTCTGGGTTTATTTTGCGCAAACAATGAGCTGAAGTTACATTATCCCTTACTTGAAATGCTATGAACGACAGCTATAATTTTCCTCCATTTGTTTTTTGCCTTGGAAGACCCATTTTTTGGGCTGCATGGCTTTAGTAAAAGCTGACATTGCGAAACTGAGTTTTCCTGTGATTTATATATTGGGATATTTATAAAATTTTACTAGATCACTTGAATAGCTCTATTTGTAAATAATTCCATAATTTAGACTGACTCAAATAATTCTGTAGAGAAGTGAATCATGCATATAACTAAAACAAATCACAAGCATAGATAAATACAACAAAGCAAAGAAAAAAACAACAACAGTGATTTATGGTTTTCCAGGCAGTCTAACAGTATTTAAATAACGGAAATTGAATAATCAAATATAAAATAACACTACAGTCTTTATCCTTGTTTGTCCAAAATACAGTTCTGACTTCCGAACTTCTCTTTCAATCCCAGTTGGTGAACCACTAAAATCTTCCCTCTCTGTAAACACACATTTTCTCAGTATTTCACATTAAGAAGCTTTCAATACTTCTCAGTTTTCATATTTTCAAACTGCTTTCAAACTAAACAAAAGTCTGATAGAGACTTTTTATTACCCCTTAGAATGAAAATAAATAAAAAACAGCTCAGTTTTACTTTGCGACCCAAACCTAGCACCTTTTGATAAATATATTTTAGTGTGATTTTTCTAATACTAAAAATTTTATTAATGCAGAAGAGAATATTTCAAAAAGTTGAGTTTATTTTCATTTAGAGTCCTTTTTCAATATGATACAGGAGGCTTTAATGGGTTAAAAGGAAGCGCTTTAGTTTCTCTTTGTTTCCCTCAGTGTACTTTGACATACAGGTAGTAACCTCTGATAAGAAATCAAGCAGCACAATGCTTTTTTTATGCAAAGCTGCATGATATGTAATATGATATGTATAATGAAAATTTTTAATCAAAGGAAATAAAAGTAAATTACATCTGACCGCACCGCAGGTCAAATAGAATCAAATATCTTACATAATTATACTGTGCTGCTGCCGAACAGTTGTTCAGATCTAGATGTGCGCACAGAAGTGTCTTAGTGGCCTTTCTCAGGGTCCCGTTTAGAGCCAGTTTCCTGTTTCTGTCTTTTGAGGAGACCTACTCCTCTATTTCAGGACTAATTGTTTCTCAAACATTGTGCTGCAAAGGCTTCCTGATAATGTATATTAAGAAACTATTATAACATCCACAGAATCAACAAGATGAGAATATTTTTGATCACTGAATATTTTAATAGTTGTATAATTATTTTATTCATTCATTCATTTTCTTTTCAGCTTGGTCCCTTTATTAATCCGGGGTCACCACAGCGGAATTAACCGCCAACCTATCCAGCACATGTTCTACGCAGCGGTTGCCCTTCCAGCCGCAACCCATCTCTGGGAAACATCCATACACACTCATTCACACCCATACACTACGGACAATTTAGCCTACCCAATTCACCTGTACCGCATGTCTTCAGACTGTGGGGTAAACCAGACAAGCCAGAGGAAACCCACATGAACGCGAACATGCAAACTCCACACAGAAATGCCAACTAACTAATTAATACTTATTATTATTATTATTATTATTATTATTATTATTATTATTATTATTATTATTATTATTATTATTATTATTAGTAGTAGTAGTAGTAGTAGTATTATTATTAGTATTATTATTAGTATTATTATTAGTAGTAGTAGCAGAAATAGCAGTATATCAATGCAAATATGTTATCATAATAATTTTATTATCACATTAAAATAAACTAATAAATGATAATAATAAATAAGATAAAAATAATACTATAAAAATAAACATTTTACTGTTCGCATTACCATTACTGTTATAACATAAAATTAAAGAAAGGTCTATTTATTTATTTTTCTATTTTCTATTTTAATTTATTAACATATTTAGACTTTTATTTTATTTTGATTTATTTAAATTTATTTATGTTATATTTAATTAAATGATACATGTTTTCTGTATATCCTTTAGTTGTTCAGTCTTTAATTTAGGTGATTTCATTGGAAGAAAAATCAACAAAACTACGATAATTGTAATTTATTCTAATAATTTCACAAATCATTTTAAATATGCTGCTAATTACTTCATACAACTTCATATCCCTAAACAATAATTCATGTAATAGAAACAAACATCAATAAAGTGTTAAGTAAGACCCCAATGATGATGAAGAACACGCTAAATCAAATGATGATGAACAAGGCAAAATCTGAAATATAACTTTGCATAGACTAAATAAATGTTCAGGGTATAAATTATAATGTAAAAGGATATAATTAACAACATTATGCAGAAGTGAGCATTTAGACTGGAAATGAATAGGAAAAGTTATTTTCAGAGGGTTATGATGGCAGGCTTTGGGTGGCTGGTTTAAATAACAAGGCTGGGTAATTGGAACTAGACTGTAGTTAACATTTTAAATCGGCGCATTTTGAGGCATGAAGGAGCTGTTGGTTTCACTCATACAGCTATAAAGATTGCTTTTATAATTGCATTTAATCACTCAAAATTATTCAAAGAAGCCAACTTCCATGTCTTATTAAGCCAACATTGTTACTATGACAGTAACTATAATAGTAACTATATTTGTGTTCACTCCAGTGCATGATAGCTGTGCTGGAACATAATATATATTATGTTGTATATATAGGCCAATACAGCTCTAGTGTGGTTGCGCTGCTAACTCTAATGGCAACAGTTTGGGATTTTTTTAAGCTTTATAAGATTACAGTTGAATTATTGAAGTCACATGGAATGTTTTTAAATGTTTTTTGTTCATTTTCAGAATTTTAATCAGACTTTTAATAAGAGAGCCCTCAGATTTCATCTAATATATCTTCATGTGTGTTCTGCAGATGAGTTTCAAGGATTTAAAACAACATGAGGGTGAGTAGTTAATAACCGAATTCAAATTTTTGGGAGACATAATCCTTTTATATATATATTATATTTGTATATTACAAAGTGACTTACAGTATTCATTTAACATCATTTAGTCATGACAACATATGCTTTTAGTTCATTGTAACTTACTAAACGAAGTTAATTATGTTCTAACTTAATTTTAGTTACGCAAACTGTTTTAAGTCAGTTTAACATAATATTTAATAAATATTCATAAAGTTTAATGGACTCATTAGATTAAATTGAGTCAGCTTAAAAATTTGAGAACCCCAGGATTTTTTTACAGTGTATAAGTAGGCATTTCTATATGGATGCATTTCTCATGTCTGTGTAACCGGTAGAGTTAAGTCGGCAAGAGTGTTTCATTTGTTTTCTCTATTTCACAAATAGTTGTTTTAAAAGCAGACATAATAATAAATAGCTTAGCAAATGAATGAACATTTTTTAAAACATTTGTGACTGACAATTCAGTTTTAAAAATGGTTGAAAGAAAGTTGAATGAAAATTAGGTGAGCAGATGCAAGTTTCACTTTGACAGTTTTGATTCTCTGCTAACTGTTAAAGTTGCTTGAAAATGTTCATTTAAATATTATATTTGTGCATATACAATAGTTTAGTCAGTACTGAAGCCAAATCTGAGGTAATCTATCAAATTAAGTTAAGATTACAGTAAAAAAAAAAAAATTGCACCCAAATGTATATATTAGGGGAAAATATTTAATAATAAAATAAAAAAAAAAAAAAAATATATATATATATATATATATATATATATATATGTTTGATATTTTGTAGTTTGTACATTTTTGTAACATTTTGCAATATTTAGTTTGAATTTAAATGTATTATCTTTCTATTTCTAAAGATATTTATGACTAAAATATTATTTTGATGAATATTTCTGTTTAATAAATCTGTTTTGTTCAAATGCACCACAATGTATTACCTATATTCATATTTTGATATTGTATATGGTAAATAAAATAATCTATTTGGATCAGCACAAATAGACCAATCTAACACAAATTGAGCCCAATCTGTTTAGTAAAATGAATGTCAAAGTGATAAATGTCTGCAGGAAAGAAACTAAACCAACACACCCAACACAAACCTTTACAAGTTAAAGGAAGTGAATGATGATGTCATTTTGAACCCAATACCAGGTCTGCAGAGATTAAAAGGATAATACTTATATATATATATATATATATATATATAATATGTTGTGCAAGATTTTTTTTAATTAATAAAAGTCTTCCAATTTTGTTTTGGGGCTCTTATTTATCATTTTTTTTTTGCAATTTCTAGGTACTGGTACCACTTTAAATATATCAGTTTGACACCAGTATCATAAAACCTATAGAAGCAATATTGTTTCTGTGTGCCATTACTGATTTAGGCATAGACTGCTATTCCATTCAATTCAGAGTGTTTCATAAAACTATATCTTTATCATTAGAGCAGTTATGGTCATTGTAGTGAATGGGCCTTTGGCCAAATTTAGCATGTGAGCAGAAGTCACTTACTGATATAAAAAGTTCCCGGTGCTTGATTTCCTTCAAACTGGAGCATGAGGAGGTTGCTGGTTTGACTGTCGTGACGAAGCCATAAAGCTACACCCAAAATCACACCACCAGCCAGCTAGCAACAAAGAAAAACAGAAATATCTTAGCAAAAATTCTCCATTAAATGACTGATTAGAACCTTCAACAGATGTCATCGCCCAGAAATGTTTGCTTCAATTCTTTTTCCGGAGGTCACTCCTGAGGTCATTTCTTCCTGCGTTTGGGGAAGAAACATCTGACAGGTTTAGTGTTATTCACGCACAAAGAAGGGGTGGGGGTCCTGTTCAGCACTGAGAGCCAGTCCTCTGTGATACCGTTTGTTTGTTTATTTTTTTGCAATTGGCGGAGCAGGAAGCAGCAGCTTCACTCAGAGAATTGTGGAAGTCAGGCAGATATATTTTGGTGTTGGCAGTGCGTAAAGTACAATGACGGGAAACAATACGCATCTCAAGAGGCTTCAGGATTGGCGCAGTAGATATGATATCAAACAATATCATTCTCATGCAACGCAAGTATACTATATAGTCAAAACATACATTTCAATTTGCTGCATGGTAAAGTATACTTTTGGTAAGATGAGTCAGTAGAGTTGTTCCAATTTCACTGTCAGTTTTTGTTGGGGTAAACATTATTTATTTTTAGTAATGAATGTTATTCCAAATCATTTGTCTTGCTGCTAAATGCTAATTAGACTTTCCTTAAAAGTCATAATTAGCTTTGTGATTTCATTGTTCTGAACCTTCCTGGTGTTTCAATAAAGAGAGAACTTGCAGATAGTAAATATTTATTATAAAATGTCTGAAATTCTGTTACCAGACAATACAATAAATGCTATAGAAATAGATGCTAAAATATAAAGTACATAGAATACACTTTAAAAGTCTGTTTATATGGTAATAATGCACTCAAAAATTATGTTTGCTATTTGTGCAAACTACTTTTTTAAAATGAGCTGAAACAACATAATTTTTAAGGTTTTGGGAAAACTCAATTGCTTTATATTCAACCCACTTAAATTAGCAAAAACTAATAAGTTAACTTAATTCCTTCATGTTGTCCCAAATCATTTTTTACAGCGTATTATATCGAATTATATAATAAAATGTAGCCTATACCATATTACCAATGTACGTGGGACATTTTTTGTTTTTTTTTTGTTTTTTTATATTCCCATTTATAAATACAAGGTCATAATTATAGAGAGTAAAAATAAAGCAAAACCACAGCTAGCCCTCTCTGGAGCCTCCGACACACATTTTCTTCAAGTCTAAGAACACATACAAGACAAACAGTGACTACACTACTTAAAAAACTGCAATCGAGAAGAAAAAATATAGACCATAAGTTTTATAAAATAGTATGAACACCCACTTCTCTATAACACTGCCATTAATTTATTCCAGACTGTGTTTTGAAGGTCTAGAAGTTAAACTCTAACTGTGAGAAAAAGTGTGAGGAAAAGCACATCTAATTACTTCAGATGGGTCGATTGTTTACAGAGTCAATAGACCTCCAAGAAGAACTTTCAGAAAGGCACTTATTGTTTCCTACTCTGAATACTTCTGTGGCTTAAATGAACACCCTGGGATTCACTGAACTCATGGAAATTTAAATTGTTTACTAGGTTATTTCCTAAATTGTGTCATTATAAAATTACAGATAAAAGTTTAACATAGTACTGTAAATATTTCAAATTTTATAACATAAAATTGAACATTTCTGAAGCAACGATGTATGATATTTGTAGGCTATAAGTGAAAAATAAAAACAAATCATGCTGGTAAACAAATGGACTCACCCAGAAAATGAAGTTTAAGAAGAAGAGCATATATTTAATGCACTGAGAGCAGCCTGTTACAGCCATGGTTTGATGTGGTGAGTGATGCTGGTCTGGAGGAAGAGGATCGAGGCTCAGCTCCAAAGATGGATATAAGGGGATGTGAGGCAGTCCGGCTCTCTGAAACTGCCCACGAGCTCATGTGTTTATATAAACTCACTGAGGCAGAAAAAAACTGAGGGATCCTCCTGCCAAGCTCTGCCCCACATTAACATATAAAAACCTGGTTTTAATTGATTAAATGGCAATGCATGACAAATCGAAATTCACATAAGTTGGTAAAAGACTCATCATTTATGTTTTATTATGTTTATTTTATTTGTAGTCTTTTTAACTATTATCACAGTATCACACACACACACACACACACACACACACACTCGCACACACACACACACACACACTAGGCATGGGCCGGTATAAGATTCTGACGGTATAATAACAGTTTTAGGGTATCACGGTATTGTGCTCACTGCTCTAGATATATTCTTTTTAAATTTCTGTAAAAAAAAAAAAAAATTGCCCTTTTAAAACTATATATTTTGTTTTTTTAAATATTTATAATATTTGGAATTGTAGGCTAATTGTCAGGCTAAATAATTCATAAGATTAATTGACTTCTGCTGTCTTCATTAGTTTCAAAAACACTGTTTTCTTTACCATTTAAAACGGCATCTTTGGATATTTTTTTCTGCTGGAGATACGGTTGTCCTAAAAAATGCAAATAAAAAAATCATACACTTACCTTAGTAATGTATTACAGAAAATCTTGGCAGTTTTAAAACTTTTCAAATCCCGGTATATCTTGAAAACGGTTATCGTCTCATGCCTAACACACACACACACACACATAGCCTACAGTTTTTTAACACTAAAATAATCTGCTAGGCTAGGCCGACTATAAAAATATCAAGCTAGCATTCTGAAGATATTAAGCTATTTATTCTTTATTTTAAGCACCTAAACTACCGTACCAAGAAACTGATGTAAAGTGAAAAGGTAAGAATGAAATTATGGTCCCACTTTATATTAAGTGGCCTTAACTAATATGTACTTACACAGGAACTAATAGTTTGTTACAATGTACTTATTGTGTAAATACATGTATTTACTGTGTACTTATGCTTGGTTAAATACCTGTATGTAATTACATCTGTAATTAACTTTTGTAACTACATTTGTAAATACACTGTTGACCATCCCTTACACCTTAACCCACCCTTAAACCTACCCATACCACCAAACCTGTCCATAACCCCACCCCTATCCCAACTCAAAAGCACCACAAGTGTTCTCAAATACATTATAAACACAGTAAGTACATTGTATTTATTTTTTGACGTAAGTACATAGTAGTTAAGGACACTTAATATAAAGTGGGACCGAAATAAATTAAAAGAATGTGCTGACTAGTGGCCCTATAGCAGTGGTTCTCAAACTCTGGTACATGTACCACTAGTGGTACGCTGGCTTCCTTCTAGTGGTACACGGAGGAATGAAATATGTCATGTAAGTGCTATATATATATATTAAAATTTATAAAAAAACATGTATATAATATGCCATTTATGACATATAGCCTATATTTAAGGCTAATTTGCCATGTTTTTTTATGTGCAGAGTTGTAGCATCTTTACTGGGCCTACTACGCTACTGTATTTCAATACTGCTCATTTTGGTGGTACTTGGAGAGACAATTTTTTTCTGAGGTGGTACTTGATGAAAAAAGTTTGAGAACCACTGGCCTATAGCCTATGTGTAATATGAAAAAAGACTTAAAATGGCCAGTAAAACAATAAAACACTACGCCACAAGATAATAACGCAAAATAAACATCTGTGTCAGTTTGTTCTTCATAAAATAATTATACAATGAACTATCTACATTTGTAACGAATAACTAGCTTAAGTTAGTTAGCTATAAGTTTTTTCACAGCGTAGGCTATATAAACCTATATACACTGAATATACCATGAATATGTACTCAAAACGCGTTTTATCTCATGTTTACATATTTTTAAAAAACAATAATCATTTTTCAATTAGATTATAGTCATAGAGCAGTTATTAAAAGTAACGTTAGATAAAACTCCACGAGCGACGTTGTAACTACAACTCCCAGGAAGCATTGCGCGGGTCAGGTTAGCCACCCGCTAGCAGCTAAGCAAACGCAGAAGCAGGCAGGCGCAAGAAATGTGTATTTGACTACTGTAAGTTAAAAACCTTTGGAAATGAGTTCTTCAGACGAACCGTGTAAAGGGACAAAACGACCCGCATCTCCTGATGAAGTATGTGGTTTGCATCATCATGCATATGTATGATTTTACAACAACTGACCTGACATTTTTGTGAACAGCAGTGTTAGCAGATTGTTAGCAATGTGTTGTAACTATTTTTAAATGTTACTAATGTGACAAAAGAGTAACGTAGCATCTTTATTATCTGATTTCTACCTCTTTGCTATTTTATTGCGGTTTTTTATTGATGAATACTTTTGTGTAGCTACTGTAGTTAATGTAACAATTCATTTAAGCGTTTTCCTGCATTCATTCATTGGTGAACATTTGTAACTTATGTATTTGTATGTAAATCTAGAAAACACTTGAATATTCTCACTGCAGATTTAAAGGATTTATTAGGTATTGATTTAAATAAAATAATAATATTTTACTCTAAAGGTCTGATAAAATTTCATTCAAATTTAAAATATAAAAATACTTAGCATTTATTAAAAATGATTTCAATTGGTCAGAATAACAAATGTTTTAATTTTTTATAATTTTTTTTTATTATTATCAATTCTGCATTCTTAACCATTTTGAACCTAGAACATTAGCATTGGTTTTGTGAATAAAACTGAATATAAACATGTCTGAAAACTTTTAACTTTTTTTGTTATTTTATGCAACAAACACAAAAAAAATCATAAAATGGCTAAAAAAAATATTTTGCATTTAGTAGTGTCAGAAGTAGTTTAAACAACTACTTATGACACTACCAAATGTAAAATAAAATGTTGTCTTATAGAGCCTTTTTTTAGAAAAGATAAAAAGTGCCATCTTTATTCTAACCAATTGAGTGTTACTTCAGTGTTTAGTTTGAAGTATGGTAGAAATGTGCGGTCACGAGACAATCACAGACGCAGTGAAATCAAATGCTCAATTAAAACTTTCGAAAATCCTGAATCAATATTGGAGTTACTTTAGTACGCTGGAGGAAGGATGACACTATAGCTGGAGTATTACTGTTAGACAGGTAATGTTCTGTTTTAAAGCTATTTTAGTCAGGCTAAGCTTATGTTAGATTGTGTTGTGTTATGAATGGGCTATATGCACAGAAGTGTTGTTCAGCCACTGAAATCTCCTGGCGAAAGATTGATGCGACTATTTTGAGTTTTATAAGGGACCCTTGACAGCATCGATAATGTAGATTTTTATTTAGTTTAACTACAAAACATCAGTAAATGGCACTATTCTGCCTAACCTGCTTTATTGAGCTGAAGTTGCTTTTGTATTCACATTGGCTCATTTTTGAACAATGACAGCCTTCCTATACTGTTTACCATGCTACGCTGAATATTCGCTCTGAATAGCATGTAAGTATGGCTTCGTAATATATTGATTCCTGCACGCTGCCGGCCAAACACTGATGAATGACATGAACTAGTGGGTTGTCTGCTGTTGTGACGCGATGCGCGCCTTCACGATTTCAAGAGATGTGGCTTTGAATCACAGTCTCTCCCCGCCGTCCAAAGATAATATGCTAAGCGGTTAGCATTTTGGCAGATCACCTACTGCACCTTTATTTATACATTGAATGCTTATTGCCATCAATATAGGCAATGCTGCTGATATGGCATAAAAAATGAAGAAATAATAAAACTTCATATAACTTCACATAAAATAATAATAAAAGCTTTCTAAAAAAACTTTCAGACCGGTGAAGACTTGCACAAAATGTATATGCAAATTCATTTCATTTGTAAGTCGCTTTGGATAAAAGCGTCTGCTAAATGTAAATGTAAATTTACATATGCAGACATGTAATAAACTAGATTTAGTTTATTCATTAGTTGCTTATCAAAATTTGACCAATCAGATGAGGCCTTGCTATCTTTAGCCTAGCCTCGCCATTAGTTGCTAATCTGCTATTGGCTGTAGCGGCCCAAAAGTGAACCCAGAGCTAGAAATGAACACTCATGACGAGGAAAATACCAACAGCCAATCAGAGCCAGAAAATCCACCAAGGTTTTCACTTATTTATAGTGGTTTAAATGTTTGCACCTTGACACGTTTTTTTAATTTTTTTATCTAAATTAGATCTGAAAAATATATGTACCATTTTATTTTTATGTTATTAAATAAATGAATAATTAAAAAACATGGCTAATAAAAACAGAGGATTTCTAGGGAAATTTAGCTCTATAAGAAATATCGTTATCAGGATAAACAACATCACATGTTTTCAGTATAAAGCAGACCTATTTACCAACAAGTGCACTATATTGGTTTTTATTTGTTTATTGGAACAATAAAAATGTCGTCTTTTTTTACCCATATTTCCCTAAAATTGATCTGTTTAATAATTTATCTGTCCAATTTAATCTGTCCAATAAATTTCATGCACTCCTATTTCAAATGCAGTTTAAATACACACTTATGTCTGAAATGAATCTGTTTTTTTGATTGTTTGTTTGTTGTTGCAGACGGGATCCACACAATGGCAGTCGGCAGATTTAGGTACAGACGAACGGAAGCAGAAGTTTTTGAGGCTGATGGGAGCTGGAAAGGTGCATTTGAGTCTTATCATATGAAACAAACTGTTTTAAACAAGTCTCCATCTAATCTGAACAAGAACAACACATTCATGCTTCAAATGTTTTTATGCATTGGCAGAAAGAGCACACGGGACGCCTTGTTATTGGGGATCACAAGTCAACGTCCCATTTCCGCAGTGGTGAGTCTGTTAGAGTTTTTAGGTTTATATTTGTGTGACAAACACACAAGTGATTATTTGCAACCTTGTATTGTGTTGAATGGGACACTTCCAAATC